TTTGATACGTCATAAACACGACCCAGAGAATCTCCAAACAACATAGTTTTACCTGATAAAATACCCTCTAGCATTCCTCATCTTGCAACTGACATTGCATGAGAATCTTGGCATCAATTTTAATAGACACCACTAATGCATCAGGCATAAATCGTGTTCTCTGAGGAGCTTGGTATTAAACAATTATACTTATTTAATATTAGATCATGTTATCCTTCCAGGAGCATCAATGAGAAAAAAGAAACAAAGGGTCAAAAAGTTGCTTAAAGTTACAACCTAGTCATCCTAACTCCCAATTTTTGAGTGCTCTTTGAACCTTTACTCTTCCTCAGCCCTCATATCTTATTAGATACCAAGTCTGACATCTTCCTTTAAACTATCTTTTGTATCATCCTTTTCCATTTCTTCTCCTAAAACTCTAATTCAGGCCCTTGGTATCTTACTTCTAAATCATGGTCTGCCTCAGAATTGGTCTCCCTGTCTTTAGTCCTTCCACACAGCTTGCTTCATTTGCCTTTGATGGTGTAGCAGGATAATATAGGCAACAGCCTCTCTTGAAAAGGGACTAAGAAATATTCTGGAGCTTTGTAAGAGTCAACACTAAAGCTGCTTAGATTAAATTCCTGTAACTGGCTATATAAGAGAAAATTTGAACATTATATGAAGTTCACAAAAGTTTTTCTATTTGCAGTAGTACTAAGGGGAAAAAAAAGGAAAAAGGATAATTGAAGAAAAATTTTGATGATGTAGTTCTTTTATAAATTGGGAACAATGACCCTTGAAGGACCATAAAGAAAGTGAATGTCAAGATAATTTATTATTGTTACATTATCTACCTCATTTTTCATTTTGTCTTACTGAGCTGTGATATCCTTACAAGGTACCAAATATCCCAAACATTAATGAACACTTCAACAGTGTATAAAAAGCAAGATAAAAAGAGCTGCAACAAGGAGTTGGTGAATTTCTCCTCTGCTATTATGTTAATATCAAAAATGTTAACCAGAANAAAAAAAAAAAAGATCTTTAAGATAAAAAGGGTTCGAAGTATATTTGTAGAAGTTATTAGCCTTTTTTAACTTTTCTCAGAAACATTGACTATAACCTCTGGCGCTGGGAGAGGGGGAGGCTAAAGGAAAGATGAACAATTTGAAATACAAACAGTGGAATCCCATTAAGAAATCTTTAATAATCTTAAACTTACTTTTTCCAAAAAAATAAAGTGGCCTACACCAGGTATGCTCTTCATGTGTGGAGGTGGGGCAGGGAGCATTCTTTCCCAAGAGAGACCTGGTGTGGTAAAATTTCAGCCTGGAGCAAATGTTCGCAATTGCTGACAAACCACTAACAACCCCCTGTTTCTACAATGCCCTTCAGGAACTCTCACTTTGGGCACACAAAGGAGTAATTCAAAGACCCAGAATCTTCACTACTGGAACTTCTACATAAAAATGCACTTTCAGTCAGGAACTGAAACCTGCTGATTTTTTTTTTCCCATTTAGATCCTAACAGTGACACTGTGTGGATAAAACTAGGAGTACACATGGAGCATCGCATTAAGAAGGCCACCGCTAAAAAGAGAGCGAGTTGTGACAGGCTGACTCAGTGTCACAGTGAGGAAGGAACAGGTCAGAAAAAGCAAGAAAATTGAAATTTAGACTAGATAAAAGGAGTTCACTACAGGGAGACCTTTCTCTTATTCTTCACAATCTAAACCTAATTCAATAGGGGTTTTTCATACTGGTCATGAGTAACTGGTGTTTTCCCTTCTAGACTGTACTGCATAGAACTCACCATTGCCACCTTACAACCCACATAGTTCAAATNAACAAGGAGTTGGTGAATTTCTCCTCTGCTATTATGTTAATATCAAAAATGTTAACCAGAACGGTCAATACATATGATTACTGTTTAAGTGCTCAGATTTAGAAGGTATGTGTATAATTTTTTAAAGTTTGCAACCCTTTCAGAAGCAGAATGTACCTCTGTCCCTAACTTGAGTATTCCTTATCCTTTCAAAAGGTAACATTTTACAGCTACTTTGTGATTTACTGTGGCTTGTTTTCATTGTAGAAGAGCCAGTTTCTATGCATGTCGGTTGGACAAACATTTATACGTTATTGGTGGAAGGAATGAAACCGGCTACCTGTCCAGCGTCGAGTGCTATAACCTAGAAACAAATGAATGGCGTTATGTGTCCTCTCTGCCACAACCTCTGGCAGCTCACGCGGGAGCAGTGCACAATGGGAAAATATACATTTCAGGCAAGTCATTTCTCCACTTTCTGCTACAAAGTTCAGTTCCAAGGCACTTTCTTGACTTGTATGTATATGTTTAATTCACAGGGGGTGTACACAATGGAGAATATGTTCCATGGCTGTATTGCTATGACCCCGTAATGGATGTCTGGGCTCGAAAACAAGATATGAACACAAAACGTGCAATCCACACTTTGGCTGTAATGAATGATCGCTTGTATGCAATTGGAGGAAATCATTTGAAAGGTCTTTTTTTTTTTTTTTTTAACTCAGAATAACATTTGCATCTCATGTTTCTTGCTAAGGG